ATTATTAAAATATCCAAAATTAGAACAAAGCCGAACACAATTTTGAAACTGACGTCTTTAGCTATGTGCTGTGAAAATTTGAGAAAAATTGGTCAAAACCCGCAGGAGCACAACTCGTTTGAAAATCAGTAATTACCGTAAAATTCTTCGGGAGAAAATTGAATTTGAATATTACATTTGCAATGTTTTTCTTACTGCAGCGAAATGTATTTTATTAAATAAGTCTGCGAGTTTTCAACATTTTTCGTTCAAACTTGGTCAGATAGTAGAACTAGTCTAATGCTTTCATGGAAACCAATAAAAAATGTTTAGGCAAAATTAACCCTCAAAGGTGTTCTGTAACCTTAAAGAAAACATTAGCAGATGCAGAACTGTTAAGCATTGAACACGTGGTATAATTTGGCTAAGTAACACAACTTCTCAATTTTTGTTGCAAACGATCAACCCAATATCTAAAGTACCGGCATATTGCATGGAAAATACTCCTGTGACAGAGATATTTATTTATTTATTTTGTGAGGAAGCCAGTTCTAAGGTCTTTGCTTTACTTTGTTGACTGTTTTAAGAGCCAGGGTGAAGAGGTATTCTACATTCCATGTAAACTTCATCCAGCATGCATCATGGGAAGTCAACTTAAACCATGGCACAACCACACAATGTGCTTTTGAGAGGCATTCACCACCCTGAAAATGTTCAAAATGGCAGGTGTTCAGGGGGGTAAATGCCTCTCAAAACATGGCAAGTGTATTTTGATGAAAATCAGAAGCTATATTTTATATAACTGTTATGTCACATTATGCTAGATAGAAACATTCTTAGTCAAGACTCATTACCAGTCCCCTCTAAACCTGCCAAAGTTACAAATAATGAAGTTCATGTAAACACAGACAACATTTTATCCTTCCAACATTTTATCCTATTTTCCACCAAAGTTTATCCTATTTTCCACCAAAGTTTATCCTATTTTCCACCAAAGTTTATCCTATTTTCCAACAGTTTATCCTATTTTCCACCTATTATCCATTTTATCCTTCCAACATTTTATCCTATTTTCCACCAAAGAAATGAGTCACACATGTTCCTGGCTGGAAAGTTTGGAAATTGCGTGCCAGAGATTTTGAAAATTTAATAGTAAATATATAGAAAGCATCGAAATTGTGTGCCCGATATCTCCGCCGCGCAATACAAGCATTCCACACTGGCAAAAGTTGGATGCCAATTTAAATTAAGCTGACACAAGAGTCGATATAAAGAAACATTAGAGAATCATCACTATTTAAAAGTATTCTAAAGAGTTATCTACCAAAACTGTTTATACAACTGAAGGTGTTTTAAGTCTTTGACAATATTAAATTGAGTCATCACTATTCGCCACAGATCTGTGGGAGAACATGCAACGATTCAGCATTTTACTCATTGGGTTGTTCCAGAAAATATCCACACTTCTGCCATCCAGAGGGGGAGGGGAGGAAAATGTGTTTTTGATAACAGTAAGTGCATTAGGACATCCGAACAGGGCAGGGGGGTTACAATTAGCCTTTCTCACAATGACAAACATCCGCCATTTTTGGGTGGCATCTAATTCTTGTTAACCAATGCAGACAATTAAAACAATGTGAAAAGTAATTTTTCAAAATAAACTAACCATTTACAAAGCAAATTTACCATCATTCATCAATTATAAAAAGTCGCTGTTATGTGAACTGATCTCGCAGACTTCGGCTGAAATGCCACCCAAAAATGGCGGCGTGAGAAAGGCTAATTTCCTCCTTCATTTTCAAAACATTTTCCACTTCGCTAAAACCAACTAATAAGTGATTTTCACTAAATACTGGCACTTAACCTGCAGTTTCATTTTCTTTTTTTCATGCAAGTATCAACTGAAGTCATTTCTGCACCACACACGATAGCAATGGTGGGTGGACTAATTAATAATGGTGGGTGGACTAATTACAAAGTTTATATTGCATTATACAGCCATTACAAAACAACAAAAGCAACAAATTATTTTATAAACACTACATTTACTTAAACTACGCAGAATTATCTGATTGTAAAAACATACAGTATATAGAAATGTATTTACCTCAGAACAGTTGATCGTGTATTTCATGTTCAAATATCCACCATCTTTGAAATTCCCAGGAAAATTTGAGGTAATTTTAAGTCCTTCAAACAGCATTCTGCAGTGTTTAAAGCCAGAAATACACTTTACAGTATTGCTGAAGTACTCACACGATGTTTGAAAAGGTTTTCACTCTTTTAAACTAATAAAATTTTGAAGTGAATTGCACTTTTTCGTCGAACTTAAATTTCACGCGCTTGACGGTAACATCCAAATGAGCAGCGCACATGAAGTACTACTTAAAAGCGACAGATAACGCGGGCACAGAGACGCGGTGCGCTAAAAATTTTAATATTCTAGGAATTCTTCTCCGAAGGACGCAGAATTTCATGAAAATTTACGCAGCATTTTTGCCACTGTCCACTGCCGATATGAGTGTCAACTATTTTCACTGCTGGTTGACGGACTTCACAAAATCTTCCGTTGTGCGCTTAGTTATCGAGGTATTCCTATCAGAATAGAGACCTTACGATTTTAGGACGGCAACGGCTACCAATACAATAGATCGTTGAAAAGAATTGAGTAATTACAATATATGAATAATTTAGACATTGTCCTCGCTCTGTTTACAACGCTAAATCACAGATTTTCACGTCTTGATACAACGGCTGCATTCCAAGCCACAACAACTTCAACTACTGGGTTTAGCAGAACTCTTCCCAACCAATTAAATTCATACGATTGATAATATACCACGAACTATGTTTACTACCATTTATTTGAAGGAGTTTGTTTTGGCCGTGGCCGTCGCGTTGCCGTCCTAAAATCGTAAGGTCTCTAATAATGGAATAGGTAACATTGCAATGCATACTTTATAAAATATCTCGTATATATTAATTTTAAATTCGACATAATACACTATCTATTTTTGGTTATAGAATCATGTCTCCGTGTTTATAAGTTAGGAACCCATGAACAGATAGACATAGAGACGTTACCCTATTTTTGTTCCAATAATTTTACAACAAGCCAATGCAGTACAAACAGAACTACAGATAAAACAAGAGCAATCTATGCTAGCTTTTTAAGGAGGTTAAATCAAGCGTTATGCTATTCAGTATGTTCTTTGATAGCCGTTGAACATCCCAAGCTGCCTTGCGAGCGTCGTCCAGTGATAGATGATCATTGTATGATAAATCCTGAAAGAATGGAACAAAGGTTTATATTTAAACAAAGGATACTTATAGGAATGTTGCTTCAAGAACTTCTTGTCCTTGTATTAATAGATGAATAGGAATGAATAGGGATGATGACAGCAATTTGAACAAAGATTTACTAAATATTTTATATTTCAAATGAAAGACTTACGTGTCTTGGTCGATAACGTGAACGATGGATCCCGTGTTTTCGACGTGGAGTTCTGAAAATAAAACGAGAAATGAGAGAACTGATAGAGTTATCCAGTATAAATAAAGTTAGTTCAGTTTAGGTTTCCTCCTGTAGTAACACTGGATCAATAAGAGATGATCCTTACTGGACCTCTAAGAAGAACAGTTTACGTGTCTTGGTCGATAACGTGAACGATGGATCCCGTGTTTTCGACGTGGAGTTCTGAAAATAAAACGAGAAATGAAAAGAACTGATAGAGTTATCCAGTATAAATAAAGTTAGTTCAGTTTAGGTTTCCTCCTGTAGTAACACTGGATCAATAAGACATTACCCTTACTGGACCTGAAGGAAGAACAGTTTAGAACTGATAGACACACCAGCCTAGCATTGCTAGCAAGTATAAATAAAGTAATATTCAAACCTCTTCACATCATCGTCAGAGTCTGTCTCGTACTGCTGTCTCAATCCAGGACCTTTGTGGTATGTGTGGATATGATGGATAACAGGGGATTGCTGTAGTATTGCACCGGGATATGTGGAGGATAGATACGATCTAAAAAATTTACAAAAAAGCTCAGAATTGAGAATCTTTGTTACCAGTCTAGCATTGCTAGCAAGTATAAATAAAGTAATATTCAAACCTCTTCACATCATCGTCAGAGTCTGTCTCGTACTGCTGTCTCAATCCAGGACCTTTGTGGTATGTGTGGATATGATGGATAACAGGGGATTGCTGTAGTATTGCACCGGGATATGTGGAGGATAGATACGATCTAAAAAATTTACAAAAAAGCTCAGAATTGAGAATCTTTGTTAGCAGTGCCTAGGCCTTTTCAGGTAGCCTAAGCTTATTGTAGAATACTACCTACACTGGACCACCACGTTCGAGATATATTTTCAGGTAGTTCAGACACAAACCACGACAGTTTATTGTAGAATATTACCTACACTGGACCACCACGTTTGAGATGTATTTTCAGGTAGTTCAGACACAAACCACGACAATTTACTGCATTAGACCATAACGTACCTGTGCTCTACTTTAGCTGTGGATTCCGGTCCGTGGTGAACATCTGAAACAAACGGAGTCGATGCCCGTGGTTGATGGCCAGCGGCATTTTCAGTTCCATTACCACGATGTTGTACGTCAGCTTCGTAACAAAGACGACAAAAATGTCTGGACGTTTCACGAGGAGCGCCAAAATTATCGCGAGGATTTTCAATTCTGAGCCTCAATTCGTCAACTTTTTGAACTAGATTACTGAAACGTTTTGCCATATCTTCATCATGGGGAGAATGATGGGTAGTAAGGAACTCTGAGGGTAATACATGGGCAGTTGGGGATGTTTCCGACGTATTACGCAGTGCAGTTAGTTCGTCTAATCTGTCTGTTACTTTTCGCAACTCACTTCGGAAATCGTCGTAGAATTCCGTATCCCGATCGGGTCTCCGTCGGTCTTTTCTATTCCTAGATTTGATATCTTGTTTCAGCTGCTCGATACTCTGTCTCAGTTCGTCAAGTTTCCTCTCATGTTTTCGTTCATGGCCTCTCCGTAACTGTTCGTCATGATCTCGGAACTCGTCGTACATGTCCATAGTGACACGTGGACGTTGTAATGTGTCCACGTGATCATGAAGTGAATCAACTTCATTTCGTAAGACTTGTGATTTCCTGGAAAGATAAAACATTCACTATTTTGTAGAAACCTCAAACGATTTATTAATGGCCAGATTTATAGAAATGATCCGTTATATTAGTGAGGTTCAGATTTGACGTCCACCATTAGCCAATCAGATGCGTTTGATATATCCGTCATCCGATCAACCAATCAGATGTTTACTAAGCCAGTGAGTGGTAGTGGAAGTCAAATCTGAACGTCGCTAGTGTAAACACAGACGAACTATACTAATGAACTAGAAAGCGTAATCGAAAGAGCGCTTGCACATGACGTCACAGCCGCCATGTTGGTGTTCCAATTCAAAAGAATTTTAATTAGATTCTTTTGTCTGGAACACCAACATGGCCGCCAGGGGCTTTTGTTGAGTTTGCGCTGGGGAATGAGTGCAAACGATTTATACTGACAACGCTATTCCTGCACAAATATTAATTTATGTCTAAAATTTAGAGACAAACCTTTCATTATGTTCGTTTGTTCTTCTCGGTGGCCGTGGCCTCACTGTGTTGCCGCTGCCCCTAATGTCTGCAGTTACTTCTGGTGTAACATCACGTGATCCAGCACGACGTATCTTACGTCTATCCATACGTATCCTTGATGTCTCCTCGACACTTGAACCACGTTCTGAAGAAGGCCTGCGTTCTAACAAAGGTCTTTCATTAATGTGTGATAATAATGGATCAGCCGTGTTGTGGACTGGTAAGGAATTACCGCCGTTGCTAAGCAACCTAGTATGCGATGATCTGTACTCAAAATACCCCGCGGGCGTCCTTGGGGCTGTTTCTGGGGACGATGGAGGAGTACAGTTAATGAATTTCACGTCCTCATTCAGCTGTCGACTTTTTGTACCCTTCGTCGGAGACTGTCGACCGTCTGTCGTGGTAAGTTCGTACGTTGTCGACATTTGTTCGGGAGAAGACGTAGTCTCGTTTTCATCTATTTCCGAGACCAAGTCAAGATGTAAACTCGAATCCCATTGGTTGGAAATATTCAACTTTTGTACTCCATCGGGACGGTCCGTCGTTAGTCGTGAGCTCCGACTAGCTTCCGAACCTACGAAGCCGCTATCGAAACCATCACTTGGGTTTCGTTGCTTGTACCTCGGTGTGTGGGACCCGCGCGTGGAGTGCGGGGATACACGCGTGGCTCCACGAGGTTGAAAGAGAGGCGTAGACATTCGACTGCTATCAGCTAAACTTGACATACTGTTAAAGTTTCGCGCGCCAAGATCAGGTGATCCAAGACGGTGTTCGGGGCTACGCTTCTCACTGTGTTTGGGAGTTTGGTTGTCTTTGTGATGTACAGCTTCTTCATCAGAATATGGAGAATGTTTTTTAGTGGTTTGATAATCCTTTCTTTCGCAATCTGAGTGTTTTGATAATCGCTTGTCTTTCTCGTGTTCTTGATCAGAATATGAAGAATGTTCTCTTGTGTCGGCGAGATGTTTATTTCCTTGAAGGTCTGGCCTGCTGGAATCTGATTTGTACACTACAGTTTCTTGGCTAGAAAATGGTGAATGTTTTCTTATATTGCCTGAATTGAGATCATCTCCTCGCTCTGAGGGATCTGATCTGTGTTGCTCTGACCTATGATGTACAGTTTCTTCTTCAGAATATGGAGAATGTTTTCTGATGTTGAGAGAATCCCTTCTTTCACCCTCTGATCTTTTTAAATCTGATCTTTGTTGATCTGATTTAAACTGTTTTGGTTGTTTTTTCCTAGAGTAATACGAGGGTTTGGAATTATCCGCGCTAAAATGGTCCGTCCTAGGCTGGTCATTGTTTTGAGGACTTTGTCCGTTTGACATTGAATGATTTGTAGGTGAATGGCCTGATCTTCTGGTCTTGATTTCATCAGGAATTGATTGGTCATAGCCTTGGGTAGTTTCTGAGAAACTGTGACGTAAGATGTCAGAATCTACGGCATTGTGTGACGGAGGCCAGGTCACATTCAATGTTTGCTCATTTTCAGATCTAGAGAAACAAAACAGTAATGAATTGACCACTTGCGTAATAGACACAATTTTGATCTTAACAAGTCCAATACCCTTTGGGTCTGTCAATTTCCCGTTTGTAATGCAAAATGACTGAAAAACGGCAAACTTCGCAAGGCTATATTATTATCCGCATTTTGCAACATTTCACAACGAAACTTTGGAATATTACTAATTTTGTGATGCTCTTTCAAGCTGTGATGAAATTTTTGTCTAGACTTGTTGAGATCAAACTTTTGTCTATTACGCAAGTGGTCCATTGATGACAGTTACTACTGACCAGAGTGTTTTCGTTTCTGTTGTTCTTACTAACATATAATAAGCATCTGTCTAAACAGGGCAAAGGCAAAGTGCATTTTTTTGGCCATAACACTTTTGGTGGTATTGCCAGCCTTGAAGGCTATTTTAGTTTTTACACTATCAAAGTTTCTGTGATCACAGAAACTTTGGTAAACCAGCCATGAAAACATCACATATAAAGGTTCCAAGCAAATCCTTCTGGCAACTCATGAAGCATTTTTCCATACAGACTTTACATACTCGTCACTTCCAGAGAGTGTGTTGGGTGGATATTCCATATTCACAGGACTTGCTGTGAAATACCGCGAGTCCACCACATCATGTTTGGCCTCTGAATATCTTCCACGTGGTAAAACATTTCCTGTTCTTGTATTTGCCATCCTGGAACTGCAAGAAATGAAATATTGTCATGAATGTAAAACATTTATGTTCGTCCGAAGGCAAATTTCAAGGGGGGGGGGGGGGCATTTGGGAGGTGGAGACAAAATGATTGTCTATAGTGCATTTTCACCAATACAAACCTGTTGAGAATCTCTTGACTGTTTTTAATACTGGCATCTTTTAAATCTCTCATTTCCTTCAATATAATAAATTAAGAGTTTTTTTAGAGACCAACAGCACTCATCACCCTACTTGGTTATAGAGATGTCTCTAGTTGTATATACTGGGAGCTACTATAGCATAATTAATGTATAAACTTTACCTTGACAAGACTCTCAAGATCTGGGCTCAGTGATGCTTTTTTATCATTTGAAGGTTTTTCTCTAAATTTTATAAAATGTATGTTAATTACATGCATTTAGGTACATTTGTATACAAGTATACAACATGGTACATTTGTGTACTTCTATGTATATTTATGTATTTTCATGTGCAACTATGTCCTTTCATCGATATCAATGTACTTATACATACATATGTGCACATTTATGAACTTCCTCATAAACATGTATACATCTATGTACATATATGTATTTTGATGTACTCCTAAATAGATTGTAGTATTATGTACTACCCCTCCGGTACTATCGTATCTGCATTTCTTTCAAACTTACGATTTAACTGCAGGAGTGGGTTTCTTTGTTTTCAATCCAGCCATAATATCTCCTTGAATTTCCTCAATGCGTAAACCAATTCTGTACAGCTGTTACAAATATGACACATATGTTAAAATTATCATTAATTATTAACAAACATCATATGCAAAGTGTTTTTCACAGCTGTTACCTCTTTTTGCAATTCTGTTTTTGTACTAAAATTATTGCCATCGCTGAAAATAAGAAAAATAACAGCAAAAAATTACAATACAATTTTTAGAAAGCAAATTTCAGAAAGCAAAATTTCTGAGAATTTCAGTCTTGGCCAGCTCAGTAATAATACTGATAATACTGCAATAATTTAAATTAATTTTGGAGATATCAAAAATATCATATATTTTATTCACTTTCATAAGGATGGCTAATAACTGGAAAATCAAAGATTTACCGATTAGAAGAAATTATAGTAATCATTACGTGTTCAAAATTGCACGCTAAAATAATACCCCAAGTATAATATATACAACAGATATTTTTTTAACAAACACTTTTTACAACATTAACTTTAATTATAAGCTGCTTTTTAAAACATAATTGTTTCAACACAATTGAAATATCATACCTCGATGCAGAAAGGCCCACAGTATTTCGTGACTGTAATTTTAGCTCGCGAGTGAGTGTGTTATGTTCTTTATGAAGTTGTGTACAAATAACAAGTAGTTCGTTTAGCGTTTCTTCATTATTTAAACCACTTTCGGATAAAATACTTTCAACCGTGTTTACATCTTCTTTCAAAGCTTGTATTCTAGCTTGTAGAGAAAGGTTTCCTCTAGTATTTTCCCGTTGAATTGGTGTTTCGACCCGACCACCTGTTGTGAAAATTGTACTACAGGTCTCATTCATGGTCGAAAATTCACTTGTGCTTGCTTGTAGCGGTCTGGGAAAGTTGATATTCTGTGGATATCTTGCTGTTTCAAAGCTTAAACGGCTATTTGGTCTACTTTCTAGCGGTTCTGTGTACAAATGAACAGTAGCTCCAGTTCGTAATACGTCTATAGTATTCTCCGCGGCAGCGTATTGTTTTAAAAGCTTGTTGTATTCGCCTTGTAGTTGTTCATATAAAACTTGTGAAGAAGCGTCCTCTCTTTCCCCCAAATTTTCCTCAGTCATTTCACAGCGATGATTTCAAAAATATACAAAATGATTCAATACAGTCCCATTTCTAAACAAAGCTATTTCCTCGCTACACATGAATGCTTTTCGTTGCTAATGGACGCGAACTCCATACCATGTCAACACAACTTGACTTTATGACTTTATGATCGATTTGTCTTCCGTGTAACGCTCATTTCCTGCTTTGATCTTGTAAATATTTATTTATAACGCCCGAATTGTTATAAATAGAAAAATATACGCCTAATAAACTACAAAATTCGTGCAGAAAAGTCGAGATTCCGATAGACAAGCCAAATTACTTTACGGAATTTTAATTAACTTCTTGTTCAAGACAATTTTCGTTAATTATTAAACACTAACTTTATCACGTGTGCGGTAAATATTTAGTTATTAACCAATTCAAGATACAAGGGACTGATAATAACTAAAATGTGTAATTACCTAAAATTACTACATGTTTTTGGGCAGAGTTTTTGTTATTTTACTTCGTTTTTTTTTGAAAGATTTTAATTTCATTAACCAGTTCATGTTTCACATGGAATAATATGCGCCAGGAACAGAATTCATGATCATGCTAAAGATTACCTTGCTTGTATCATTACTAATTAAATGGAATATAACTACAAAACTAAGTACGAATGCCACCGATGAATGACAGAAAAAAATGAACGAGTATAAATTTATTTTATTCACATAATAACAATGATTTTATGGAAATATTTTGACTATATATACACAGCTACACCTATTATTATTAATCTACAATGAATTTTCACGTATGATCACCAAAGACAACCATTTGTTATCAAATTACCACAAAGTATTTCATTTATACTTGCAACAATCCATATTTTAAAATATAAATTAATACTAGTTCTTCAAAATATATTAATTCCTAACTATTTATAAATTCCTTTTACTCTCGTGTTTTGCGGGTCAAAAACGGGTTTGAGGTGTAAAGTTGCCGGGAACATTTCCCCCATAGCATCAATAGAGTAGGTACCAGTCTTCAGCCACTCGTTCTTGATGACCTCATTGTCGGGGCGTCGGACGTAACCGTAGCAGATGGTCTTGTTGACGGAAAAGCCGAAGTCAGCCCGACGGAGATAACCAATAGCTTGGCCGTCGCGATAAATGCCTTCTAGACCATGCAGTGCTTTGTGTCTAAAGGGGAAGAGAAAATTCTTAGCCTTAGGTTTCTTTTTCACTTATCGCGTTGCAGATGGTGGTCAATCATTTATCAGAATGAGGAAATAATGTTAATTATTTTTATTATATGTAGTCAGGGGTGGAGAAAATAGGCGAGCACTGCTCGCAGGAGATGTTAAACAGCTGCAGGAAATTCGTTTGAATGAAGATTTGCTATTGAAATTTCGAAGGAAACCTTAACACCCATGTCCCACTAAGGGCGCAACAACATATGGTTGACAGTCGACATTCCTTGAATTTAAAACCATGGTCAGCTAGGACACTATATGTTTATGCACATGCAGATTTAGCACAAAAATACTCCGTTGGTCTGCAGGAAATTTTGTCTCCAGGTTGTGCTGCCAGGAAGAAAATTCCTTTTTCCTGCCCTGTATGTAGTAGTCTTGTATTTTGGACGCAAATAAATAATAGAATGGAGAGATGTAGTTTAATTTTTTTTGCTCTTATAGGTGTCATCATTCCTGACGTTACTGACAATCTGCCGTCCTGTAACGCTGATTGAAACTCACCATTTTTTGGTTTTCAGAATCGAAGGCAGCAGATGGTAGCTAACTTGAATACATCTCTCAGTTTGAATATTTTCCGCCAAATATAAGACAATCACACAATGAAAAGAATTAACATTATTTTCTCACTCTGATATCGGCGAACACCGTACGATGGTACTTAATAAAATATGCATCAAATAACAGAGAATCAGAAAATGCACGGATTATTAGCACAGACGAAGATCCGGGGTTATGGATCGATAACGTTACAAAATAAACAAAATGTTTCCACAAACCAAGAGAGAGTTGAAATACTTACTCATCCAAAGTGAGACATATAAGCTTCTTCTTCAGTCCTTTAGCTTTTTGTCTTTCTATTGCTTCTCGTCCCAAGAAAGGTGTATCAGTTTTCAACTTACAAGTGAAGGCTAAACCGCCTTCCAAAGGTGTATCATCATGTCTTATGTCCTGATGCCAGTGTTTGAAACCTTTCTCAATACTCAGACTGTCAATAGCACGATAGCCTGAATTGATGATGTCGTATTTCTCACCTTCTGCCATTACCGCGTTGTATACTGGGATACACGACTCGGCTGGTATATGTAACTCGTACCCAAGCTCCCCAACAAATGTTAAACGCAATATGCGCAAGTCGTGACCAGCAAGTTGTGCTCGCTTGTGAGTGGAGAATGCAAATGATTCATGGCTCAGATCGACGTTCAACAATGATTGTAATAAGTCGCGACTGCAATGAAGATAATCACATACGGCTAAGAAACAATGGTTCCTAGCTTGTTCACCTTTGAGGAACATCACAAGAAAACCATGTTTCCTGGTTTGCCAACCTTAGGGAAACATGACCAGGAATCATGGCTATAAAACAAAGCCAATATTTTACCTTTTTGGTCCCTGTATACTCAACATACCCATATCTTCAGACTTGTCAATCAACTGGCAATTGAATCTGTTATCTTCTATAGTCTTCTTGATGTGACACCAGCCATACTCTGCAATACCACCACCAACAGCAACGTAGAAACTTCTGTCTGGAGAGAAATACAAACATGTTCAACATTATCATCAATCAATCATCACCACCATCATTACCAGACCATCGCCACTATCACTAACATCAACACCATTACCATCATCAACACCATTACCATCAATACCATTACCATCATACCATCATTATCACCATCAACACCATCACCATTACCATCATCATCATCATCATCAACACCATTACCACCATCATTACCATCATCATCACCACCATTACCATCATCATCATTACCACCATCATCATCAACACCATTACCACCATCATCATCATCATCATCACCATTACCATCACCATCATCATCATTACCACCATCATCATCAACACCATTACCACCATCATCATCAACACCATTACCACCACCATCATACCATCACTTTCTCTCATCTTACCATCACTGCTTGGTGACAAGGCATCGTGAGAACCTTCATCTTCCAGAACAGAAACTGTAACATCAGCCTGGACGCCGCCATCTTTGTTCAACATGCATGTGTAGGTTGTTGAACCTAGAGGAAGTTTGAAAAAGAGGAAAACGTGTTTCTATGTTTCTTGCGGGGTGGGGCTAATGACGTCAAAACAAAGAATTCTAACAGAAGAAAGCACGCGCTAAACGAGGTCATTGCTCAACCCCTATGCTCAACCGTACCTGGAGGTTTTTGCATGTTATTTGAAAATATCCAATCAACTGCTTTCTGTGCGTCAGGTCCACTGATATAAAATTTTCCAAAATACGACATATTGAATGCAGCGACCTTCGTTCGACATGTTTCACATTCTTTACCGATCTGACAAGAAATGAATGATTTATCAGAGATGACCGTTACTGGACCTCAAGGAAGAACGATTTAGAACTGATAAAGTTATCCAGTATAAACAAAGTTAGTTTAGTTTAGGTTTCCTCCTGTAATAACACTGGATCAATAAGAAATGATCCTTACTGAATCTCTAGGGAGAAAAGTTTAGAACTGATAGTGATAGAGTTATCCAGTATAAACAAAGTTACAGTAGTTTAGTTTAGGTTTCCTCCTGTGGTAAACACTAGATCAATAAAGACAATAAGAGATTATCCTTACTAGACCTCCAGGGAGAAATTCAGACATAGTTTAACCAAATACAGCTGCCCAGTATAAATAAAGTTATTGAGTACTAACTTTTTTTACTCACAATGTCATGGTGCTGAGGAAAGTCAAATGTGTAATCAATCGTCAATAGTTCTTCATATTTCGAGATTTTTCTTTCGTGTTCATAAGCTCCATAATAATCATATTCATTGAGCTCAGCTTTGGAGTCAAGTGCAAACCAACCAGGTCTCTCCCATCCCAGCCGTTCTTGATAAACACATCCTACATCCAGTAAAACCTAACAATAAATAACAGAAAATTCATATCACACGTTTCTAGCACCGCCTTCAAATTGCATTGCTGAAGGTGGTTCAATTAAGGTCGATTTACAATACTCAACTTTTTTCCTAGAATTGCTGCATGCAACCTACTTTATACAACTTGAGTTGTACTGTGTAAATCAAGCATATAACTCACCAATGACAACGTAGCCCGCAGCATTTGGGGGGTGG